CATAAAGAAGAAAAAGTTAGTGCAAGGAAGATTTTTTTTTGCATTGAGTGTTAGTTCAATAATATAAAGTTTTCGCATCATCATCCAAAAACTTCAATGAAGTTTTGGATATGTCTTAAACTTTAGCTTTCAGCGCAATAATAAATATTACATGCACTTCTTCCTCAAAAAAAAAAAAAAGGAATGATAGCAAGCTTAAAAAAAGCTTAGCTAAAGAATAAATTAAAAAAGCCTAATAAGGATTTATTACATCTAACTTTACTTGTAGCAATAAATTTCAAATTGAAATGTTGTTTTTCTCATAAAATATTTCATGATTGAAATTTTAAAAAAAAGCAGAATATTTAAGTTTATCCAACAGTCAAAAGTGATTTCAAATTTAGCTAATTGTATTTGAAAAATTAATCATTCAAGTTTTGAAAGATTAAAAAAATTTCCGATGTATGACAAATGAATGAATGAATGAATGATTTCCGTCATTTTTTCGTCTTATCTTTTTCATATATATTATTGCTAAGAAATGGCAATAACTTCTTGTTCGCATAAATAAACCATCATTTGCATAATTAAAATTTTGTCGAGGAAAAAAAAAGATTAATTTCTTCCTTAAATTTAAAATAATTTCAATTTTAATGTCATTACTAAATTTTTTTTAAAGATTAAATCATTTTTCATCATTTCTATTTAATTAAAACTAATCATATTGCCTAATTAAAGAAATACCAATGAATATGTATGGAATTTCAATACACTCCAAAAATATATCACTGAAGGTCAAAGGTCTTTTAATCGTTACAATTACTTCTTTCAGTGGCTTAAATCTTTGGAATTAGACCAATTTTTTGAGGGGATCATTTTTAACTAGTTTAAATGGGATAAACAAAGTTTGTAAGAATAAGTGTCATTACGGTAATTTATTTAAGGATAACTCGGGAAATAATAATTGTCACTTAAGATTTAGCAAAAAATAAAAAGTAAAAGGCATTTTCATTAAATATGTAAGGAAAAAAAAAAAGAAGAATTCGATGGAACTAATGTAATTGTTATAGAGGAAGAAAAAAAAGTTATATTCTTCCTAACGCAAATAATTAAAAGATAAAAAAGAAAAATGTACTTACCATCAGAATAGAATATTTTCATTGAAAGGATGAACAAATTTTTAACTCTATTATCAAAATAGAAATGTTTGGAAAAGTCAATATAAGGTTTTTCGTTGATTTTAAATTTGAAATAAACTTTTAACAATTTTTTGAGAGCTTATAATAATACGATTAGATGTTTGTATCAATAATTTAAAGTTTTAATAAATCATTTGAAAATCAATTGCTGTACAAATATCTTTCCTAAAATGGAATCATAAATTAATGTGATGTAATTTTTTGAAAAGAAAACGAACTTTTGATTTTTGTTGTATGAAATTGTAATCAATAACAGGAAAAAATGCACTGAAAAAATAATTCTGATGAATTGCTATCGTTATCATTAAAATATAAATAAATTTTTGAATGTTTGACAAAGCAGCGAAAGCAACAATTATAATTTTGCTAATTAAGTAAAGATCAAAAAAAGAAAATGATAATGCTAAAAATCAAATGAATTATGAAAAAGAAACATAAATTTTAACAATCATTGTTTTGACTTTAAAAACAGCAATACTGGTCATTTTCATTAGCTACCATTTATTGATTATAAGCTAATTTTTGACAGATTATTTTTAAAAAGTTATTAGAATTTTTTTTTCAAATTTAATTGAAAGAATTAAAATGAGAGTGAAATGAGAATGATGAAATGATAAAATCGGCAATTCTTTATTGTTACGATGTGTGACATTTTTAGAAATTGATAGTTCTTTTTGTTAATACAAAAACATTTTCGAATTAATATGGTGGAGCAAAAAAAAAAAAAAAAATAATAAGAAAACAAAAAAGAAATGTTTCGGAAAAAGAAATTTAGCATTCTTTTCTGAATTTTACAAAAAAAAAAAAATAGATTTTTACAGTTAACTTTTTTTTTATCTTT